GGTTTCCTCCCTTTGATTAAAAGGGAAGCAACCAAACACAACCTCCATGCGATTCTCCCCCTTTTCTGTTTCATCTCCAAGGTTGCCAGGTACGCGAGATGACTGGAGAAAATGTGTTGAAATTCTCCATCTGAGTCAGGACATGCTGGGTTCGCCAGGCACCCGACCCTCATCCCCGTCTATTGCACAATGTCACACGAGCGCTGGTTTTAAATTCATTTCAACATTTGCTTCAGATTTCAGCTCAAGGTCATTTGGTTCATTCGCACCTGTTTCTTTTGGGGGAATTTTTAAAATCATTTCGGGAAAACATGCGGAGATTTCTGCTGAAGATCTCAAAGCATGAAAGTGTTTAAAGATGGTAAATTAATGACAAGTAGAAGATTTCTGCTTCATTGACTTGCAATTATCTGTCAGAAACACATACAACATCAGACGGTAACAAACATACAACATCAGACAGTAACAAACATACAACATCAGACAGTAACAAACATACAACATCAGACAGTAACAAACATACAACATCAGACAGTAACAAACATACATCAGACAGTAACAAACATACATCAGACAGTAACAAACATACAACATCAGACAGTAACAAACATACAATATCAGACTCTTTCACACATACAACATCAGACAGTAACAAACATACAACATCAGACAGTAACAAAAATACAACATCAGACAATAACAAACATACAACATCAGACAGTAACAAACATACAACATCAGACAGTAACATACAACATCAGACAGTAACATAAAACATCAGACATTAACAAACATACAACATCAGACAGTAATAAACATACAACATCAGACAGTAACAAACATACAACATCAGACAATAACAAACATACAACATCAGACTCTTTCACACATACAACATCAGACAGTAATAAACATACAACATCAGACATTAAAAAACATACAACATCAGACAGTAACAAATATACAACATCAGACAGTAACAAACATACGATATCAGACAGTAACAAACATACAACATCAGACATTAACAAACATACAACATCAGACAATAACAAACATACAATATCAGACAGTAACAAACATACAACATCACACAGTAACAAACATACAACATCAGACAGTAACAAACATACAACATCAGATAGTAACAAACATACAACATCAGACAGTAACAAACATACAACATCAGACAGTAACAAACATGCAACATCAGACAGTAACAAACATACAACATCAGACAGTAACAAACATACAACATCAGACAGTAACAAACATACAACATCAGACAGTAACAAACATACAACATCACACAGTAACAAACATACAACATCAGACAGTAACAAACATACAACATCAGACAGTAACAAACATACAACATCAGACTCTTTCACACATACAACATCAGACAGTAACAAACATGCAACATCAGGCAGTAACAAACATGCAACATCAGACAATAACAAACATACAACATCAGACAGTAACAAACATACAACATCAGACATTAAAAAACATACAACATCAGACAGTAACAAACATACAACATCAGACAGTAACAAACATACAACATCAGACAATAACAAACATACAATATCAGACAGTAACAAACATACAACATCAGACAGTAACAAACATACAACATCAGACAGTAACAAACATACAACATCAGACAGTAACAAACATACAACATCAGACAGTAACAAACATACAACATCAGACAGTAACAAACATACAACATCAGACAGTAACAAACATACAACATCAGACAGTAACAAACATACAATATCAGACTCTTTCACACATACAACATCAGACAGTAACAAACATGCAACATCAGGCAGTAACAAACATGCAACATCAGACAATAACAAACATACAACATCAGACAGTAACAAACATACAATATCAGACTCTTTCACACATACAACATCAGACAGTAACAAACATGCAACATCAGGCAGTAACAAACATGCAACATCAGACAATAACAAACATACAACATCAGACAGTAACAAACATACAACATCAGACAGTAACAAACATACAACATCAGACAATAACAAACATACAATATCAGACAGTAACAAACATACAACATCAGACAGTAACAAACATACAACATCAGACAGTAACAAACATACAACATCAGACAGTAACAAACATACAACATCAGACAGTAACAAACATACAACATCAGACAGTAACAAACATACAACATCAGACAGTAACAAACATACAACATCAGACAGTAACAAACATACAACATCAGACAGTAACAAACATACAACATCAGACAGTAACAAACATACAATATCTGACTCTTTCACACATACAACATCAGACAGTAACAAACATGCAACATCAGGCAGTAACAAACATGCAACATCAGACAATAACAAACATACAACATCAGACAGTAACAAACATACAACATCAGACAGTAACAAACATACAACATCAGACAGTAACAAACATACAACATCAGACAGTAACAAACATACAACATCAGACAATAACAAACATACAACATCAGACAGTAACAAACATACAACATCAGACAGTAACAAACATACAACATCAGACAGTAACAAACATACAATATCAGACAGTAACAAACATACAACATCAGACATTAACAAACATACAACATCAGACAATAACAAACATACAATATCAGACAGTAACAAACATACAACATCAGACAGTAACAAACATACAACATCAGACAGTAACAAACATACAACATCAGTCAGTAACAATCATACAACATCAGACAGTAACAAACATACAACATCAGACAATAACAAACATACAACATCAGACTCTTTCACACATACAACATCAGACAGTAACAAACATACAACATCAGACAGTAACAAACATACAACATCAGACAGTAACAAACATACAACATCAGACAGTAACAAACATACAACATCAGACAGTAACAAGCATACAACATCAGACAGTAACAAACATACAACATCAGACAGTAACAATCATACAACATCAGACAGTAACAAACATACAATATCAGACAGTAACAAACATACAACATCAGACAGTAACAAACATACAACATCAGACAGTAACAAACATACAACATCAGACAGTAACAAACATACAACATCAGACAGTAACAAACATACAATATCAGACTCTTTCACACATACAACATCAGACAGTAACAAACATACAACATCAGACAGTAACAAACATACAACATCAGACAGTAACAAACATACAACATCAGACAGTAACAAACATACAACATCAGACAGTAACAAACATACAACATCAGACAGTAACAAACATACAACATCAGACAGTAACAAACATACAACATCCGACACTTTCACACATACAACATCCGACACTTTCACACATGCAACAGTTGATCCTACTACTCATGTACACTGTCAGAAAACTACGGGGGTGTTGGGGGGGGGGGAGTGTTGCAATACATTATTACCACCCACCTAACAGCATCATGCCGCTAGGTTTATTTGGAAAAAAATTATCGCCAAAAAAAATTCCACCAAGACGTGCACAGTCATTGTCAAATCTTCGGTTGGATGCAACTGAATCAAAAGCAGAGTTTAGTCTAGATTATGGTACAGTAGAAGTCAGTTTTGGTGGCCATGAAGTTGCATTTGAAAATGGTCTTTGGATAAATGGTAAGTATTTATTCTATTATAATTGTTCTCCTACTTTGAGTTTAGAGCTTTACACATAAAAGCTTTTTAGTCCTACGATTGTGCCTTAAGTAAGTAAAAGTAATTGTTGTTACTTCAGAAACAGCTGGAGGTGGTTCCACAAGGAGGTTATGAAACTAAGAAAAGCCAATCAAACGTTGCATGAAGAAAACAACTTATTGAAGCTTAAGATTGACATCCTGTTAGACATGGTATGTAGTTAAAAAATGTATCTGACATACTTCAACCTTTATTTTTCTTATTACTGCCAAGATAGTGGAAATTATAAGCCATTTTTTTTAAATTAAATTTTACAGCATTGTTTATGACCTAACGATAACAGTATCCATACAAAATTAAACATCTTTAAACCATCAATTATGTTGATAAAGCACATGTTGATTCACAAATTGTTGTTATAGAAAATAAATCAAATCTCAATTCAAATGGTTTAACAATATTTTCCTTCCCAGCTTGCAGAAACATCGGCAGTTTCACACTTTCATGAGAATGAACTCAAACAGTTGAGAGAAACAGTTTCACACTTTCATGAGAATGAACTCAAACAGTTGAGAGAAACAGTTTCACACTTTCATGAGAATGTACTCAAACAGTTGAGAGAAACAAAATTGTCTAAGAAACGCTGATTTGGTTGTCTATTTTTTCCTAACTTTTGTGAGGGATCTAAGAGATGTATACATGGACGGTTTGCTAGAAAATTACTGATATAGTTATAAAATCTATTAACTTAAATGACTGTATAAAGTTGTTTAAAATATTTAGATGGCATAATCTTCAATACCACATTACAAATTTAGTGTTGTTAGTACTGACTTAAACCAAAATCTTAACAAACATTTTTTTTTTGCATTCTTGTTTCCTTACATTTGATAAGTTATATAGGTTTATAGTGATACATTTAGTTTCCAAAAATATTTTTTTAAAAGATGGACTTTATTTCTTTAGTATTGGTGAGTGATGTATTTTGTGAATATTGCGACAACTGCAGAGAAAAGTTGTCAGTGTACATAAGTACATATGTATATAATGTTATAAATATCTTTATATGTGTAATAAAGAATGTTTATACGTTTCGTTTTTCTTCCTGTGGTGTTTGAATGTTATGAAAGTTAAATTGTAAGCTCTTAATTTGTATAGACAGCACATGAGACTTGTAATTGAACATCGGAATACATAAAAAATGTACATGTTTTTATTGCTTTAAATTTTAAATGATTATCTGACATGAACATCTATTTACATTTTTAACAAATTTATCACAGTACTTTCTGTTTTAATTTTTTTCAACATTCTTCATTTCTCTCTGGACATTTGGGTTTGGGTTTTCTATGAACTGAGAATAATAGAAAAAGTTTTAGAATTATCAGCAACTGTATGTTGTATACATAAAAGAAACCACAAGCTAAGTGGTAATAAAACATATATAAAAAAACAACTTTACATCAATAAGCTTTAAAAATGCACTGAAAATAAAACTAATCTTTCATAAAAGCTTTAGTCGCTCATGAGATCTACATAAGTTAGCAACCAAAGCAATAATGAAAGATAAGTTTTATTTTCTTATTTTCAGTGCACTTAAAAGCTTGTTGCTATAAAGTTTTTTTTTTTTAATTTTTTTTATTTTCTACTTTTTAGTGATTTCTAATTTATGAAGTCGACATGACTGAAAATATTTGCTTTAAAACACCATCAGTAACACCACCATATCTGAAATACAATTATCTGCCCAGTGAAAGCAGCTGTCCGTGACCATATTTTACAAACGTGCAAGTTGTATTATCTGCCGCTTATAGGCTTCATTAGATCGCCGTCTCTCAATTGTAAACATTCTCGTGAACCACAGCTCACTAGACTGTTGGGGTAATTGCATGGTGACCAGAAAGAAGGCATTGGGAAAAAAAGCTCACAGAAAAAAAGCACAAACAGATTATTGTTAAACTATACGAGCCGGCCCGCGGCATAACATACGCCGCTATTTAGTTGTTTTATTTTCTACTTTTCAGTAATTCATAATTTGTGAATTCGACAGTACCAACGCTGCCACTGAAAATATTTCTTTAAAACACTATAAGTAGCTCGTTTAGGACCATAACCCCCCCCCCCCCCCCCTACGTTTAAAATCGTTGGCTCTGCTTGTAAACATTTAGAGTGAACACAGCTCACTAAAACCATGTAGGGGTGGGGAGGTAGGGAGCGCGTTTACAGCTTGTTTTCTAGCGGCTCCCAGAGGAGAATTATATATATAGATTGTTGTAAGCCATGGCTATGTACAATCATACAAACAGCTAAGAAAATAAATTTATATGAAAAATAATTTTGCTACTTGTAACATTACCCTTTATTATCTTTCTCTGTGCGTAATGTCATTGGACTTCCACATTTTGAACAAGTCATTACAACTGATGTAGTTGTAGCTACTTCACCTAAAGATTCAAAAATTAGTTTACAGAGTATGCAGTGTCAATAGCATAAAAAAGTTCAATGGGAAATGTGAATTGATTACAAAAAAATTGCTCTAGTGTTACCTGCAGTCTGGGGAGTTTCCTGCACCTCACCCAGATATTGTGACAAAGCTTCGTCAAGTTTCTGTGCCTAGTAATAATAAAACAACAGAAGCTGCACTAAGTGTCAGGCAAACAAATCATAAGAACAGCACAAATAAACAAAACCAAGGACAATTTAATAGTAGATCTTCACTAGAATAACAAGAAATAATGGTTTAAAATCTACAAAAATACACATCAAAAGCTAAACCAATTCAATTAACTTAAAACTGGGGCATACAATTCGAAAGTATTCATTTTAAGCAGTTATTTGAGAGTAATGTTTATCTCCAAGTTGTTGGCATACCTTATTACAAGCTTCAATAAACACTTCCTTGTATTTCTGTATCTGGACACTTAAGACCTCTGATTCAAATTAAGAAATTTGCATTTAATTTACCATAACATACACCTACAAAACTATTCATGTAACAACATACTTAAAACCTGGTGTAAACCATATTGTCACAAATAGCTAAATTTAAGACATCTCTTATAGAAACGTTTTAATTTAACTAAGTTAAAGCTAGTAAATTATCCAGCACCTATGTTTATCCTACATTACCTTCTTTTGTTTTTCTCCCTTCACATATTCTGTATGAAATAAACAAAAGGGGAAAGTTATTGAAAAAACATCACATAACCAGTGAAACAGCTGTTTTTAACTTAAAAATAATTGGCCCAAATTAGTTTTTAATACAGTATACATTTTCTAATGCCTTAAATATAAAGTGTCCTAAAAATTTAAAAAAAAGTAAAGTAAAATGTGGATACTTACAATTTTAGGTCTGCTTCTAACTCTGCTCTTAAATTTGGTTTGGACATTTCATAACCCATACTTTCATAACCTAAAACAGGTGATGAAAAACAATACCAACTGGAAAAATTAAACCCTAATTTGATTCAAACAATCTAGCCCACACTTATGTGCATTTAATTATCAAAATAATAAAAATAGCCTACCTTCAACTAATCCCATGCCTAATTGGCCAGGTACAAATCTACCATCAGGTCTTAGACCTACATACTTACGAGCCTTAACCGTCTCAATATGGTCAGCATGAGTTGCATCAGTACCTGTTGGTTATAACAAAATGTTTTCCAATAAAATTTAGCCGTACAAGTATAGAACCCTATTTTTATGGTTTATTCAAATGTATAAAATACTTTGTGGTTAAAATCTTTACCAATGCCATGTTTCTCCATCAAGGAGATGAGATCAGCTTCAGTAAGTAGAAGTGGCGCACTTGTTTCTGCAGGAACTATCTGCAGAATTAGAAAAAGTCAGCACACAATATTTATAAATTTTAAATTATTATCGGTTATGAATATCGAAATTACTGAAGTTATCAACATAAGTATAAATAAGCCATACAGCTGAAGGTAACTATGTAGAAATCTTAATTACCTCAATTGAGTTTGGCTCAAACTGATCTCCCTGTCTATAGAGTGGAATTTCCTGTTTAGTTTAGAGAAACTCATGGATCAAAACAACTAAAGTTCATACATGACTACATTCAAGTTTTTAATTAATAATTAAGGTAAAGATTGTTATGAAAAAATGAGGTAGCATCTGTATATTTTAACTTACTTTAGCATTCCATCTATCATAAGGATATACATCTAGGAAGTTTTTGGCTAGAATCACTAAACCTTGTGCTGAAAACTATAATTTTAGTAACAGGTTAATCTAGGTACAAAAGCTTTTATTCCATTACAAAACTCAAATACAGATTGTCTAAAAAACAGTGCTTACTATTTCATCTGCAATGTTGATATCTACTATAGTTTCATGTCCCTGGGCATCTTGAGATACACAAGCCAAAAAGTGCCGCACTATAAATTCATACACCTTCTTATCATTACCCTAAACAAAATAAAGTACTGGATCATTAAAATATTTATTTGACTTAATATTATCATTTTGTAAAAATAATTCTTCAAAATTTTAGATGAAGTAGGAACCCAACAGAGATAGTGTTCTTAAATCAACAGATTTTTTAAAATCAAAAACTTCAAGCCTAAATAGAAAATAAGAACACAGTAAAATACATTTTAAATATGAAAATTAATATTTTTTTATATTAAAAAAAAAGTGAAAAAGAAAGACAACCGATTTAAAATATTTAAGTTTTAAAAACTCATTTTACTTTTTAGAAATGCTTTACAAAGTGTTTGTTAAAATTGCTGCAAATAAACTGTACACATTTACACATTAGAACAATCATGTTTAATTTTGATCAGTAAAACCATGAAATGATATCAGCAAAGTATATACCATGAATAATTAAATAAAAAAATACTGCAACCAAGAATTTTGAAAGTTCACCTGTAGGGTAGCAGTATACTTCAATGGGTGAATAGGTGGATGAGCTTGATCAGTTTTGGTACCATTTCTAGGATTTATCCCATTTTTTAAAACTTGCTGGGCAAACTCTAGGAAAAAGCAAAATACACTAAATTAATAGTTTGGAAAAAAAATGTTTCAGACAAATCAAGAAAAAACAAAACATGTTTTCCATTGATATAGATATCAATAGGAAATTAGAAAGTCAATAGGAGTTTCAATTATGTGATGTACATGAAGAATAAGAGAAGCAAATAATACCACATAATTGGGCATAAGTATTCATTTAAAGCAGTACAAGTGAAAAATAAGAAACAAGCTAAATACAAACAAATATATCAACATTCATCAAATTACCTCCCCAATCTGGGTCTCTTGTTTGTTCAGATACTAGAGCTGCCAAATCCATTTCTTTGGGGAAAATGTTTGTTTCAGTACGTGGATAACTAATGAAACCTTGTGTGTAGAGATGTTCTGCTATTTTCATTGTTTCCTTGGCATTAATCTTTAGCTTACTTGATGCTAATTTTTCTAATTCCTTTATAAAAAAAATGGTAACAAAACATACAAAATGTTATTCAAAGTACACTTTTATCATTAAAACGTTTTTAAAAAATTAAACACATATATTTTTAAGTTAGAGTACAAGCTACAAAAGGATTTACAAATCTCAAATGTATAGTAATATCTCTTACAACTGTATCCAATGCCTGTGGTCGCCATTTGCTTTTGCTCTTACTTTTTATATCAATTACAGTGGCTACAGGATTCTGATTAAAAGTATAAAAAAAATTTGTTGGGAAAGTTGAAAACGTTTTAATTATAATTTTCCTAATATGGCTAGTTAACTATACAACATCATAAGTTTAGTAGTCACAATTGAAAAATTATTAGCTCTAAATAAAAGCGATAACTTTAATAAAAATAAGTTTATTATAACAGACAAAATTTATTTTTTTACTCTGTATTAAATAATAATTGCAAATTTACTTTACATTTTTTACTTAGATTATATTTCTTACTTCAAGGCAACAGTTATATAAATCTTCACACAATCGATTCCTGAAAAAAAGCAAGGTACGATGGATTTTAAATTTCACATTGTTAAAAGAATGTGCATGTAAAATATCAATGGCTGAGATAAAAAAATAATATCAATCTTTTAAAATAGGTCCTACATACTTTTTTTAATAGTAGAAAATTATACTATTGATGCAAAGAAAATTTCTTTTGTATGGATCTCAGAGACTTAAATTTACTAACCTTTGCCAACTAAAATCTGCTTTAACCTCATCATGTTGATGTAACACTAATAGGAGAAGAAAATTGATGAGTCGCATCAACAACTAAAATACTTTTCATAAAACCTTTATTTTTTTTTAAAAAAAAAAGCTATTTAAGTACCTAGCAATTTACAGAATTATGTTACTTTCACAGTGATCAAGCGAGGATACTGTTTTACGTTTAATACTGTGAATTATTAATTATAATATAAATTATTTTATTAAAATGATTTGATTTTACTCAAATATCAATATTTTAAAATGACCCCTTATGTTCGAGAATGGTTGAGGAACAAATGCCTGTGCTTGTTTGTATCTCTCTACAACAAATCCCAAAGTAGGAAACTGACAACTCCCGTAACTGATCAGCTGCTCAGATAATGCCTGAGGGAAAGTTTTTCGCAGCCTCAGAGTTTGAAATCTTGTAAAAGCTGCTCCTAAATAAACAAAACAAAATCATTGTTGAAGCAAGTAATGAGCAATGTTTATGACAGTGCATGAAATTATGTAAAAAGTAATTGTTACTCATTAACAAAGACAGATTTCTGCAATATTGCATGGTTTTCATTACAACAAAAAATAATTGATTCACCTATACGTAGATCTAATTCTTGGCGAACATCAACTGCATCATTAATTCTGGCATCAGGGGCAGCTAAATTATTGATGGCTCTGGTAATAGCTCTATATTAAATGTAAAAAAAGTTTTCAAATAATAAGACAAATAAAAAACAAAATCAATGTTTAGAATGAGGGCACAAACAGAGAGTAAAGTGTGATTATAATTTGAGTATAAACCAGTTATAATTTTAATTTTCTTCTAAAAACTTGAGTCATACTTACTGAGGTGTAATCTCTGAGAACTTGGCTCTATAAACTTTAATGTTCGGTTTCACTGAGTGACAATAAATAATTAATGAAACAACTTAAAATCAGTGGCGGTAAAATATATTATTTCACTAAGTCCCAGTCAATATTTAAACAAATGTAAAAAACATTTTCACTTTACACAATCATTAAAACCAAAATTATTAAGACAAGATAGTCAATACATATGAGTAGTTTTCTGATCACGTGACTTAATAATTAACATTACAATTTTTACCTGCTTGACAAACATGAATTATTTCAAAGCCTATATTTTCTCCTTCACGATCACAATCAGTCCAAATAATTAAAGATTGACAGCCTCTGATCTCTTGTTCTAAGGTTCTCTGACAGTATAAAAAAGGATTTTTCAAGAACTTAATGTAGGGTAAACAATACATATTCTACATAGCCATTATCATTTACTTCCAGTTACTCAAGTTCTCCAATGAATCTTCACATCATATAAAATGTACCTTGATATCATTGTAATCTTGGGGGCAATGCTTCATGACTGGAGCACTGAACAAATCAACAGGATTACAGGCTCCCCTGATATATAGTAAAGAGAAATATATTTAATCAACCACTTTAAATGAAACACATCTTTTAATGAGAAAACATGAAGAAAAAAAAACAATGGAAATAACATACCACTTTTTAAATGACCCAGTAAACTCTAGCCCAAGCAGATGTCCAGAAACTGAGGTCATTGTCATAGTCACATCTTCATTCATTAATTTATACTCAAATTCATAAATTTTGTTGAACCTTGAGAACCCTTCACGCTTTAGACATATAATGTATAAAAAAAAGCATTATTAGAAAATAAATGGAAAATCATTTTTCAATTATGTATTAGTTGATAAAGCATATGGAGTATGGTATGCCTGTTTTATGTGGGTATGGCTATTTCATCTACTACTTCAACTAGTACACAATTCACTAGGACAATGTCAGTATTTTAATCCAGAACACAAAGCTAAAACCTCTAGTATTTCTTTTTGAAATAAAAAAAAACATGAAACTCAAGAAAAAAAAACATACCTTTCTACATTGACCATGTGAAAGAACATTCGCTAAAGATTTAGCAGCATCATTTTTCTCAGCAACATTCAAAACTCTAACCATTTTTTTAGGAAGAGATGTTGCTGATGGACTATACCTTCTAAGGTGGAGAAGAATGAAACGCATTGAGATATCACCAATGGATGCGTGGCAAGCTTTGGGTGTCATACATCAGCTGTGAATATTTAAAATAAGTCAAAATATTCCATACATTCTTTCAAATTATGTGCTAGATGCTTAACAGAAACTTTAAACTTAAAAATTAAACTATAATAGTCTCACATCGTTACTGTACTAATTAAATGTTTAATGAAGCTAATATTTTAAATAAAAGGAGTTGATGTTACTCTTACACTCTAACATAACAATGAAAGTCTTGTCTGATTGCAATTTAATGTTTACCTTATAAACAACCTTTAAAAAAATTTACAATTTTATTTTAACATTTAGCTAATTTAAACTGTACTTATCTAGTGAAGTTGTACACTTATTTTCAATTTTAAATTATGCCTTATATTCTTTTAAAGATTGGCATGGTAAAAATGTTTGTCTTCAACAGTAAACAGCCTAGATTTAGATTAATTATAATTTGAAAGTTTTAGGTTCATGTGATGGAAAATGAAATTGACCATATTAGTTGAAACCATTTTAATAGCCAAACCACATCGTTATTTATGTTTTTGGAATAGCTGTACATCGTTAGGGGTCATCTATAAATGACGTCACGTTTTTTTTTTGCCGATTTTTACCTCCCCTCTATGCTCCATCACAAAAGACAGACCCCCCCCCCCTAAAATGACACACAACTCAGCCAACAACCGCTACACCTCACCCCTCCTCAAGATTGAATTTGAATTTTTTAATGACCGATTTTTTTCCTAACATATTAACTGAGCTCGACCAACATAGGGGTCATCTATAACTGACGTCACGCTTTTTTTGGACGATTTTTACCCCCCCCCCCCTCCCCTCCGTCACACGTCGTCACAAAAAAGCCAGACCCCCCCTAAAATGACCCCCCCCCCTTCCTCAAAATTGCAGTTGAATTTTTTTTAAACACCTATATTTTTCAAAAATCTTGTCTGAACTCTGTCAAAATAGAGTATTTAAATCAATTGTTATTACAATTAATTAAATCAGTTTTCTAAAACGCAAAATAACGTCTAAAATTCGTTTTCTAACATTGTTTTTTTATAATGCAAAAGTGTGACGTCGCACCATCTGAACCCCTCCCCCTACGAGTGAGACGTCATTTATGGACGACCCCATAGGGTATTTTAATAAAAATTTCTATTAAACTTTTTTAAAAACAGTTTTCTAAAACGCGTTACTGCGACTAAAATTCAGTTTCTAACATTACTTTTTTAAAATACATAAAAATAAAATTATGACGTCACACAATCTAAACTCCTCCCCCCCCCCCTACCTACGAGTGTGACGTTATTTATGGAAACGTGTTGGGTTAAGTTTTTTTTTAATCTGTTGGCCTATAGCTATTTGAAATCGGCTGTGACGTCATTCCCCCCCCCCCCCAGAGTTTCTTCCAGGCATCTCTTCGGGGGGGGGGGAGGAGGGGGGGGGGTCGGGGGGTGGGCACCCCCGAATTTTTTTTGCCGCCCCCCCCCTCCCCCCCCCCCCCTCCCCCGAACGAAATGAAATTTATATAATTTATATAGAAAATAAATACTTTTAACAGTGTCCGCCCCCCCCCCCCCCCGAAGAAAGTCTACCGCCCCCCCCCCGAAAATTTCAAGTGCCCCCCCCCCCCCCGGAGAAAAAAGTCTGGAAGAAACACTGTTTCTCCCCCCCCCCCCCCCACCCACAAGCAGCACCAAACACGTAACTCTGGGTCATGGTGAGGTCACAAGAGCCACCATTGCTACGAGGTGGGGCGGGTTAGTCTTGTCCTCATGGTCATAGTCAACTTTTGCAAGGATTACAATATTAATTTGAAATAACAAAATAAAATAGAATCAGAGAGACACTAGATTTGGGGTGGTTAAAATACCGATAGATAAATTATGCTACATCAATAGCTAGATTACCAGGCTTGGGCGATGTAAGTTTCATTTGAAGAACAGCATTATTTTAGAGTACTTTTTCCCGTGTTTTTTTTTTTTTAATAAATATTTAACTGACAATATCAGCGGAAAATTTGCGTTCTGAAAAATTAGTAAATCCGCCGAAACTCTGAATCTTGACCTAGATCTACATTTCATTTTAATCTAGGATGATCACACCAGTCACACAGCGCATATTCGAGTGTCTGTTAGACCTATGTACTGAAAGTTACTGTAAGTCTCGATTTAAATACGACCATGTGGAAAGCGCACGCCGGCCTTTTCCGTAGAGGTCGTTTCCGTTTTTTTTTTCCTAATTTTTAAAACTTCGTACAAAATATTATGCAAAAATCGAAAATTGGCGGAAAAATTCGGCGAAAATGAAATCATCGGAGGAAAATTGCAGCTGAAACGGAAAAATCGGATTTCCGATAAAATTCGGAAAAGTCATATCCCTGAACTAATAAAAAAGTAAAAAATTCTTTCAGGTCTGATGGGTCATTAGAAATTGTTAAAGAGTGCTTCTGTTCCTTTGACTTCTAATGTCAGCACTAAGCTGCCCTTACTCAACTTTCCACAACTGGTTAGGTATCCCTAAACTTTAAGGTTTATAATAGCATCTTACAACTCTCAACCCGATCATTCCAAAATGATACTTCAACCACCAATTATCAATTAACCGGACAGGATTGTCCTTAAATGACAGCAGCAAAGTGTAACAAGATTTTTACCCATCTTCCCTTCATATATGGGCTATAGTGACGTCACAAAGTTACACTCTCCTTGTGAGTACAATGTTATACCATGTTTACACTTGTACACTTGCAAAATATTTACTATACACATCTAGAAAAAACAAACTATACAGTTTTTTCCTAGCCATGTTGTATAGTATAAGTATAGGCCTACATGTCGAAAGTATAAAAGCAGTGTATGTTGTATAGTATAGGCCTACATGTCGAAAGTATAAAAGCAGTGTATGTTGTATAGTATAGGCCCCCGAAGAGATGCCTGGAAGAAACTCTGACCCGCATTCGACCGTGGGATCACAATACAAAAAACACACCGGGGTTACTACACAGTAGGGTGTGAGCTCAACACACACACGCACTCTCCCCTAAGTTCGAGACTATTCTAACCTATTCTAATCTGACCTCACAATGACCCGTAACACAAGTATACACCCACACTTCTTGGAAAACTAAACAACTAATTTGTTATCAATTCGGCTAAAACAAATGGAAACTAGACTTGATTAATTTTATCTCCAGATCTAGATACACCCTTAAAGCGCCACTAAGGTTCAAACACTCTTGAAGGTGGAGGGTTTATTAAATTATTAGTTCGACACACTTTTACTTACTATAACTACTTAAATACTATTACTATTACTAATTACTAATTGGGCCTACTTAGTTGTATTATTAACTTATAAAAAGACTTATTAAAAATTATTATTACTATTACTTATATTTATATTTATAATTATATTACGTAATACTTTAATACTACTATTTAAATAGTATTAGATCTTGTATTACTCCAGAAGTATTAGTTACACAAAAGCATGGCATTTGCCTGAATAAAATGGTAATCAATCGTTTTAGGTACGTAAAAATCGCCCGCGGATAGACATGTACGAAAAAGTTACCTCATTGTCAAGGCTTTAATACTTTTTAATAGAAGTATATTGTGATATATTTGTGTCAAATATTATAGATAAATGAATAATAAACCAAAATCAATAGCTAAATATATCAATATAGGCCAGAAATTAACATTAAACAGCGGTGTTTGTGAGCATGATTTGCTATATAAACAGCAGCCATTTGTAAAATAAAGTGGCTTCCCCTGAATCTCGCTCTATAAGTTTAAAAAAAACTTAAACAAGATGGCTGCTATAGTAAATGAGCATGGTTGCATCTGTTGGAAACATCGCTAATCTTCATTTATTACTGAAAAGTTTTAATTCAATTATTTAAAAACAGGTACATATATGAAACAAGGAAACATTTTTGTATTTTTCAAAACATAAATCCTCCTCAAAATGTGAAGTAATTATTAAAATTTAAGGAGTCACCTGTTTTTAACATTACTAGTTGCGGGCGATTTTACGTACCTAAAACGATAGATTACTGACAAAAGCCAAATGTAAAAGTGTCACAAAAGTCGTCAGATCAAAACATCAGAAGTTCACAGGGATGAAAATAAAATTTGGTAGGCCTACAAGCCTCTAGATGTAGATATCTACTTTGGAGGACAAAAGAGTGCGTAATGTAGATTCAGATTGCATCATGTTCTTATTACGGTTGTTTGCAATGAAACCTCTACTAGACCTACACATCACATTGCATCATTTAGAATTTTGTAGATCTAGACTCTACTTTCATTATCTCCAGTTCAGGTTTTTAGCGCAATTTCCATACGGACTATTGCGATTATTAACTCGTCAAGGATGGATGTGTGTCCGCAGCTTTAAGTCGTATCTCCTCCTCAACGAAGCAATATCGAGGACTAGTTCCAAAAGCAAATATGTTAAGCAAGTTCCGAGGATGATTGTGGGCCTAAAAAATTCCCGGAATTCCTTCCTGGAAAAAAAAACCTCGAAAAAATGCAACCAGACAACTTAGCGACTTGAAACATTTACCAATAGATTCCTGCCATAATTTAGAACAATATTGCCGAAGAAAGTTTTCAAAAATATCCTTCCGTTCGGTCACAAAAAATTAATTAAGGAAATTGCGCTTAAATTGTCACTAGACTTTTTATTAACTTGTTTTAGCAGACTTCACCTTAATTTTACAAACTTTCGTAATCTACATAATAAAATAATAATACAAGCTTGAAGTTTAGAATATTTTGTATTCAAATAAATACTAAATTATTGTTCAAAGGATCAGTGATGCACACTATCAAAATAATGATAACGACACACAATAGGATTATTTCAGCGCCTTTCTTGATGCCCACCGAGATTTTTCCTGGGGGCCTACCGGGATTTTTCCCGGTAAACCGGCGGGCCAGTTCACCCCCGCAAGACAACACGTTTCTTGATGACTATTTCTTTCTTCGTTCAACCTTCTTACCCACACTTAGGTGACCACATTTTCGCGGTAGGCAAGTATTTTGTAATGGTTTCTTGGAATTCAGTATTTAGACGCTTTTTCTTTACATCCATTTCACGACCCACCAAGGCAGTCATAAGTTGCTGCCCTTACACTATACAATATGTAAAGGGTGGGGCGGAGAAAAACAGGTTGGGGATTGGCTGTTAAAGTTAACTTCTCCCTCCTCTATGGCTTTTTCAATTCGCAATGGAACATAGTCTATTTACAACACCCTTCCACCACAACACCCTTCCACTACAACATCCTTCCGCACTTTTCTGTCACTTACAATTTTTTTTCCAACTCTGTCCCCAAAGTTACGTTACAGTGCTTACGATTTATTCTTGAAATGTGTATTTAACTACAAAATCTATTCATAATTGGAAACTAGCGGGGTGTCATAGGTAGTGAAAAAAAGATAATTAACATTTAATACCTAGGTAAATTGACTTTGTAAAGACTAAAACGAAACTCATCACCTTAAATAGCTCCAATAGTTTCCATTTCTAAATGGTCCAAGACCCACTGTGAACAAAACAACTGTTGTCAAATCACCGCTTTCGACATCTGCGGTCAAACACCCTTAGGTCAAAGCACCGCGTACCGTATATATATATATATATATATATATATATATATATATATATATATATATATATATATATATATATATATATATATATATATATATATATATATATATATATATATATATATATATATACTAGCTGCATACCCGTGTTCCGCCAAGGTGAATCATTTTATTCCTTTAGCGCCGCGTATACCTGTGATTCGCCACAGTGTGAAAATGGATATTTCCTCAGAGTTTACCGCGATGCGCGCGGGTGCGGATCCCTGCATTGGGGCGAATATTCCTTCAGCGCATATGGATATAAATATTACCTCGAATTGAGGTCCCCGCATTGGGGTGAATATTTTTTAGCCCACCTCGCTGCGCACGGGTGTTGGTATCCTCAGAGTTTACCGCGCTGCGCGCTTCGATACTGTGCGGATATGGATGTTACCTCAGAGTTTACCGCTTTTATTTATAGTAATTTAAATAGTAGTGTATAATTTATTTTCTACTTTTTAGTGTATTAGTACATAAAACGTTTTTTCCGAATTTTTTCCCAGTAATTTACGTTTTTTTTACAATAGAGTTACATGACTAAAACCATTGCGCGTCTATTGAACGTGATGGCGCAGCTATGGAACCTGATGGCGAAGCTATTGAACGTGATGACGCGTGTGGTGTGGTTGGATAGACATGCCTACTAATTCGGTCCAAATTTTAATTAATTCATAAAAAATTAATTAGGCATCCAATTAAGTCAAATTTAATTTCAGATTGCATTGTCTTCATGTCTTGACCCATTCGGGCATTTGTCGCATTCGAGCAAGTGTCCATTCGGGCATTTGTCGCATTCGGGCAAGTGTCCATTCGGGCATATGTCGCATTCGGGCAAGTGTCCATTCGGGAAATCGGGCTTCGGGCAAACGGCATTCGGGCAAGTGTCTTAGAACATAGGATTGGTGACGCTTTGATGAAACCCGTATTATATATTCCGTCAGACTTACCGGGGACGGGTACGCTAGTGTATATATATACACCAACACACACACGCAAGCCTAGCTTATAAATATCTTGAGATAAAAATTCTGACAGCGAACAGCAAGTCGAATCTTCCAGAATCTCCTGTACCTTATCATAACCTGTACCGAGACCAGATCAGCAAGGCAAACATTTTTTTCAAAATTAAATAAAATACAGTGAGTAGCAGTTAATGGAAAAACTGACTTTTTCATCATCTTTAGATAAATTATTTATTTCACCAGGTAAATATTTATAATAAATTATATATATATATATATATATATATATATATATATATATATATATATATATATATATATATATACATATATATATATATATATATATATATATATATATATATATATATATATATATATATATATATATATATATATATATATATATACCAGCGTAAGTAAACGACACATTGTTATGTAACGGTAGCTTTTGTTGGCAATATTTTCTCCACACTGATCTAGCCAGTTTCGTTTTCGCAAAGAACGCTACATAAATATTTTATTTTTTGAAATAAATATTTTTTAATCGATGATTAGCATCTTTCCGGATTAAATTAAGCGATAATTACACAAGCCTCCCCCTCACCCTCAGCCAGCACCTCGCTACCTGAACAGATTATTTGCAAGTGTTTGATAAATTCCATCCTTAAACAATTTATGTTTCAGTTTTTTAACTGTAACACAAGCAGGTTTGCTCAATACGTGGAGCTGTGACGTCACTACATGCGTCATGACGGGGAAACTGTAAGGTGCAGATATCAACATTGTTGGTACATATGTACACACATACATCAACAGATATCAACATTGTTGCTACATTTGTACACACATACATCAACAAATATCAACATTGTTGGTACATATTTACACACATACATCAACAAATATCAACATTGTTGGTACATATGTACACACATACATCAACAGATATCAACATTGTTGGTACATATGTACACACATACATCAACAGATATCAACATTGTTGGTACATATGTACACACATACATCAACAAATATCAACATTGTTGGTACATATGTACACACATACATCAACATATATCAACAGTGTTGGTACATATGTACACACATACATCAACATATATCAACAGTGTTGGTACATATGTACCCACATGCATCAACAGATATCAACATTGTTGGTACATATGTACACACATACATCAACAGATATCAACATTGTTGGTACATATGTACACACATACATCAACAGATATCAACATTGTTGGTACATATGTACACACATACATCAACAAATATCAACATTGTTGGTACATATGTACACACATACATCAACATATATCAACAGTGTTGGTACATATGTACACACATACATCAACATATATCAACAGTGTTGGTACATATGTACCCACATGCATCAACAGATATCAACATTGTTGGTACATGACAGCCACACCATCATGTCATGACAGCCACACCATCATGTCATGACAGCCACACCATCATGTCATGACAGCCACACAGTCATCACGTCACGTGCCAGCCACACCATTATGACGTGACGTGACAACCACAGTATCATGGCGTGACAGAAACATCATCATGTCGTGACAATCACACCATCATGAGGTGACGTGACAGCCACAGTATCATGACGTGACGTGACAGCAACATCATAACGTGACATCAAACACCATTATGACGTGACAGCCAACACGGTCATCACGTGACAGCCACATTACTATGGCCTGACGTGACAGCCACACGATCACGACGTGACAGCCAAACCATCATGACGTGACAACCACACCATCATGACGTGACAGCCACACCATCATGACTTGACAGCCAACAACACCATCACAACGTGACAACCGACAACACCATCATGACGTGATAGCCACATCATCATGACGTGACAGCTACACCATCACAACGTGACAGTCGACAACACCATCATGACGTGACAGCCACACCATCATCACGTGACGTGACAGTCACGTCATCATGACGTGACAGCCAACAACACCATCATGACGTGACAACCACACCATCATGACGTGACAGCCAACACGGTCATCACGTGAGAGGCAACATTAATGCTACCAGCACTGGCAAACAGCCAGGGAATATTCCTAAGACAACGCGAGAGATTTTGAAAGCGGATGTTTTTAATCAGAACCTGGTGTTCCATCTCTTCTTCCATCTCCTGTAGTGGTGGGGGTGGGGTGGGGTGGGCTGGAACAATACCAGATTCACGTCTCTTCAGAGATTCACGTCTCTTCAGAGAACACATTTGACGTCTGCCACTCTTAGATCAGGCTGTCTCAATCTACGTCATAAATTTCTCAATCTATGTCATAACTGTCTCAATTTAAGTCATGACTATCTCAGTCTACGTCATGACTGTCTCAGTCTATGTCATGAAAGTTGAGACCCATCATTAATTTCAATCAATACCTGATTCATCCAATTACCTGGTCAGT